ACACAACATAATGATGTTTACTAAAAAAAAAATTTGTTCCAAGTAACTCCATTCTCTTGAGTGCTATGCATGGAAGTAATGGGGGAGGTGTAAGGGAGCAACAGGGAAAAATCATCTCAAATTTAAGGATTTTTTTCATATTATTGAATATGTGGAACCATGTAAAGCGGTAAGGAAATAAATGAACTGGATGCCTTGCAGAAGGATCATGCCTTAAGAACAATAGTGCCTGAACAGATGGCTGTAAACAATCTACAGAACAAAAATTGCACTACAATTTGGGATGACATTAATAGTGAGGCTTTGAGGAAATAAAAATGTATAATCGTGTTTCACAGGATACTTCTTACCAAAACCTGTAGCGCAATTTCAATATACCTTATTTAAAAAATAAAATCTTTAAAGTAGTATATTAACTAGTAAGGTATAGGACCAAAAAGTACTAGAGTAAACAGCTTGGTAAGGTTTTGCAGATGGAATATGCTAAACCCGTGTTTCCAAGTGAAGAACTGCAGACATATTGTTACAATTTTGTAACAGGTGCAAATGAGAAGTTGGCTGCCAGTTTCACTCTGCTTCGGCTCTGCTTCTTTACTGGACTTTCTTGCAATTCTTTTGAAAGCGTAGAGTCTGGTTTCTCAGAATCTGGAACAGAGTGCTCAATATTCAGGCGTTTATCATTGGACTTTACGTACTTAATAGGTAATGAACAGTCATGAGGTGGTTTCTTCTGGGATTCATCAATATTTAAGCCTGAATAAAGAAACAACACAGCTTAATTATAACACAATAAAACAAAAAATAAATCAAAGCGCTAGTACCAATACAAATAAAATAGGTGTCTGCTGTACCCAGCATGCCCCACAATCAAGATAGGCTCCTGAAGCCCATCCCAATATATTGCCTTACCTGTAAAGTATGTTTCTTGAAGTGCACCACAGGAAACAGGTCTTTGTATTCTGGAACCAATGTCTTGTGCAACTACCTTCAGTTATGTAGCAAGCAGTACAAGAGATTACTGAACAAAGGGGAGAATCCTGTGGTGCAGATTTTACAGGCATGTCAAAAATGTCATTTTCTTGATCATACATCACAGGTCTTGCTATTTTGCCCATCACTACGCTGACTGTTTTTGGAGATCCCATAGGTTCAAGAATACCAACATCAACAAGCCGGTGAAACAGACAGTCCCAGACTAGCACTTTAGTCAGAGGCTATGGCTCATGTAAATAAAGTAAAAGGTAGAATGAGAATTTTGATTTCTCGATTCGGGTCCTAGCCCCTCCCCAAGGGGTCTTCTAATTCCTGCAGAAGAGCTACCTAACCTAAACCATTAGGCTCAAGCAATGATTCCACCCCCCTTTCTGAAAAATGTAAGAAAGATGCCAGCCCTGGGCCTGGTTTGCTCATGTAAATAAAAAGAAACCACATTCTGAAAATGTAAGAGAAAGGGTCAAAGTGAGGATTTCCAACTGACACAGAACAGCAGAGTCTGTCTGAATGACCTGGGGTTCCTAAAAACAAACATTAGGGCCAGGCGTGTAAATCTAGCAAACTGTTTTTATGGCTATGGCAGGCTGCATAGAGGGGCTAGCCAGGGCGAAGGATGCTTTAAACATAACTTCTAACCTCTTGTCCACCAAGTCCTTGAAGACAGGGACATCCTCCACAGGCACAGTCAGGGACAGCTTGTTTTTTTTTTTTCTAAACTACGGAAACCTTTATTAACAGGGTATTGATGTTGAAAGTGTTTGGTATCGCCCCAAAATGGCATTTGTTCCTCCCAGTCACCATACAAGGGTGACTGTTAATGTGAGTGTACTGGGATGGTTTTTAGCAGGTTTAGAAGCCCAGCCTGGTGACCTTTGGTAAGGCTGACGCAAGAGGCTCTGAATCTGCAGAGCTAAAACAGATCCTAGCTTCTCTTGGACTTCAGGGAGTGAAACAGCCTCCAGGAGAAAGTCAGTGAGGGAGTGTCTGAGGGTGCAGGTAAGGAAGATCTGTATCCTGCGATTTATGACCAAGAAAAAGTATCAGGGCAAAGTTACTTTTGCAATCTCAATGTCCTTCTATCAAGGCTAGCAACAAAGAATATGTAAACTGGCCATTTAAACTGTTAAAACACAAACTACGCAAGATCTACCTTTCACTTTCCAACAGAAACTAAAAAAAATGTGCATACAGTAAAGGTCATCAAAAAAACACTTTTGCGGCTGCCAATATAAAGTAAATACAAATCATTGTAAAATTCCTGCAACTTTCAAAATCATGTAATACTGCCCTACAGGGGGGTTTGGGCACTGGCAAACAAAACAAAAATGCCAACGCCAGCTCCTGTATAAAAATGCCACTAACTGCCATGCCTCAGTTTTGTGAGCAAGCCGTAAAATAAGGTCAAACACATGAGGTACAGGACCTGTGTCCCTCAATTGACCAAGAAAATTACTTTAGGGTTAAATTTAAAAATCTTATTTTCTTAAATCTTCCATGGAGGGACACAGGAATTCTGAAACAGTCCAGATGTCCAAAAGCAGTGCAACTGAAGCGTGGGAAACAGCCACTGGTGGATCAATGATGGAACCAGGATCTACATTTCAACAACCAGAAGGACCCATGCCAGAATCTGAATCAGAAAAGAAGGATGGAGAAAGTTACCCAGGGGAGGTCAGAGAGGATAAACTTGATGCTCAGACTAGTACAAGAATAGTCACCAAAAGGAATGACAACCTGCAAGGACACACAGCAGAAGCTGTCAGCCAAAGCAGTAACCAACAGGTGGGGTAATATAACTACCTGAACGGGGAGAACAGAACAAAGATAATACTGGGAAATACAAGCCCTAAACTTCAGACCCCAGGCAATAAAGACAAGACTGTCTAGGGCAGCCATCCAATCCAATGACAGACAAAGACAGAACAATCTAGCATAATACCCCTTGGGACGTTAAAGGACCTAAACAGTTGGTGATAATCCCAATGGAACCACCTCAGGTAGCCACAATCAGCCACAGTAGGAGGGCCCGACTCCAAAACATCCAAACCCATGAGGACCCCTGTGGTGCTTACCATCTCCCATGGGAAAAGTCTGCAGCTGTGTTGTAGCGTTAGCTGACAATCCAAAGAAACACCAAGCCCGCCAGCGCTTAATTTACTTTACCATGCAAGAGATGACACCAGAATGCACAAAACCTTGTCCTCAAAGAAAACTACAGGATCCCAGAAGGCAAAAATGGTACCTCTAAAGGTGATCGTGTGGTTGAGAGCAGCATTCCTCAATGTCACCTACTGTAGAGAGCATGTCGCTCAGCACATAAGGAACCTTCCTGTAAGTAAAGGTCTTACAGCACAAAAGTGATATTCAACTAAGTCCAAGTCAAGGACCCCTACTCCCCAAAGGACTCCCTGAATAAGCAGGCACTGAATGCTTGAGGACAGCCAAGAGTCCTCCCACAATGAGGGAAAAGAACCACCACATAGATCCTAAGAGACTAAGGATTTTTATTGGCAACCACCTACACTTCTTGCCTCAAGTCCAGACTCGCAGATAGCAGAGGGGAGACCGGAGGTGAAGAGAAAAGGTGATTTAAAAGGATAAGGCCATAGTACCCCACTAGCCAATAAATGGGAGGGAGGGGAATATAGTGACCATTCAGGAAGCTCCCATAAAGCCAGAGGGTGCAAAGTGGTTCAGGGACGATCTATGCTGGTCAGTCGCACTCGTTGGCGACTGTTAACACTATAAATCTATAAGGTTTGAACTGACGGAAAACTGCAGGACTTCGTTGTTTTTAAAGAATTCTGGCTATCAGCATCCAAAAAACTGACCCTGATTAAATAGATTGCCTAAGCACCCAATAGTGAAAAAAAGATGGATGTCAAGAAACTACAGTAGACAGGCATTACATCCAGTG